ATAAATTTAATTAAAATTAACTAAATTAATTGACTTATTGCAAAACTAATCATTGAATATTGTATTGTCATCAAGCAAGAGTATGTATTCAAAATTTGAAGAAAAGCATCATTAGAAAGTGACTCAAGAATTGATTGCAAGATTTGATGCTCACAGAGACGAGGAGTTAAAAGCATTGGGAAAAACCAAGTAAATCTAGTGAGTTTAGCAAGACTTATTGGATGAAATGTTATTTCAACGATCATGGGTATTGTAAAAGTATAAAATTCTAAAAAAATTAGGTATTTATGGTACAATTAGGTAGTGATGTTTTTTTTTTTTACTTCTATTATTATCTACAAAGTTCATTCATTTCTCTTCTATGTGAATAAAGATGTCATTGAATATGAGTATTTTAGAGTATAACTAAAATAATAAGTTGAACAAACTTGTTATTAAACCTTTATTTAAAAGTTTGGGTTTATATTACATAACTCAAATATTTAACCAACAAATTTTTATGACTGTTTACTTATTAAATATGTATAAATCTATTATTTTCATTTTGAGTTGTATTTTTTCAAAAACATTTTATATACAATATAAAACCAAATTAAAATATAAAATTATTTTATATTTTAATTTATAAATAATTATTTTTAGTTGAGACTCTTTTACTTATTTACTTTTATTTTTTTTACACACACGAGTAAGTTAATTTTTATCAAAAAGTTAATTATGTTAGTAATTTTAAACCTTTTATATAAATTTATATTTCTGTGTAAGTAATACATTTTTTTGAAATGACATACTTTATAATGTATACTTTATAATGTATAAACTTATACTTTATAATGTAAGTTTATTTACTTTCAAAAGTAAGTTATGTAAAAGAAGATTACATCAAAAAGTAATTTACTTTTCCATGTAAAAAAAATCACATAAAAAATCTATTTACTTTTACAAGTAAAAGTTTATTACTTTTTAAAATTACATTACATAATAAAAATTATTATGTAATGTAAATTTACATAATAATTTTTATATAAACAATTATATAAATATTGTTTTTTGATATGCAAGGAAAAAAACTGGATTAATAAAAGTTTTATTAGCATGAAGGGACGGATAGAGTAAAAGGATGCAACTTGTTGAATAAGAAACAAGCAAGAATGAGTTTTGGTTTATTGTAATAGAGATGATAGCTTGTTTGAGCATTGACCATGATTGTATTTGTAGAAAAAAGAAATGCAATCTTACAACGATGAGAGAGTGGCTCAAACTTGACAAATAAAGCAGGTCTAATTTGCTATTAATATTTTTTTTATGTTAATTAACCTCCCCAAGGCTTAAAACACAACTACAGACGAGGAGGCTACTTAACGCAACTACAGACGAGGAGGCTACTTAATTGTGGTTATAACCCTCTCTCACCTATATAACTCCAAAACCTGAACCTTGACAACCATGGCCACTGCGCAGAGAAACAAGTTGAGTGTGGTACTACCAGGGACATGGTGGAGATCGTACTCTGTACTTCTCGCTTATTTTGTGAGCACTCTACCACTATGCCATGACCACATTACATTTACAATGTGCTTTTAAACTTTGTCTAAGAGTATGAGGGTTGTTATTCATCAATATAGGAATACTAACATTAATGCAATATTTTTTTCCAGTAAATAAGTAAGTTTTATTGTCTAACAAAAATTGCAGATTTCAAGTCCAGAACTTAAATCCATAAGCCACAGCAAGCCTTAGGCCGTTACAGTAGAGAGATCAGATTAAAAATCGGTTGCTTGTTCTAAGCAATCAAAAAGTGAGGATTTTTTGTCAAAACAAGAGTGTAAAGTTGAGTCGTCAACAAATAGAGCCACTTTAGATGTTAAACTTTCATGAAGATTGATATTGTAGATAAGAAACAATATAGGAGCAAAGATTTAAGGACACTTGTATCCCTTGTGGTACCCTTAAAATTTTTAAAATAAAGAAGAGTGTAGGCCTTTAACAATTACTTTATTACTGCAGTTATTAAGAAATAATTTAATAATCCCAAAACCTTTATATAAAGAAACTAATAACAAAGTGAAGACTAATCGGAGGATAGTTAGAGAGGTCAAAGTGTTTTCTAGAGTTTTAAAAAATGGGAAATTGTTTAGCATTTTTTAAGAATTAAATATTATATAATTATTAAGATTAAATGTCAGACATTACTTTATGACATCGTTGAAGACTAACCAAAAAGTCTCTAGAACCTAATATCTGATATAAGATACAATATTTAGTCAACTGAGAATAACAGAGCTTAACATCAGACGGGACCTTTTTACATTGGCTTCTTGGAATAATATTTGTTCTTAAGAGAGATGTTCTTGTAAAAAAATGAAATAAATGATTAATATTCTTTTATGTTTATATTTATTTTTTATTTTATACTTTAGTATTTATATGGTGTAGTATTTGTAAAAATAGAAGATGATGATAATGATGATGATGACGATTATGATGGTAAATGATGATGGTAATGATGATTTTAATGATTGTGTTGATTATAATGATGTTTATATATGCATATATATACAAAGTATAAGATAAATTTTGATTATAAAAAATAAAGATCTGAAAGATAAAGTAAAATTAAACAAAAAAGAATAGATTCAAAAAGGTGAAGTTCCTGGTTTGGCTCTGAAAACAATTTTAACATGTGTGTTTATCAAATTTGCACAGAGGGTAAAAGTTTCAGTACTCTAGCTAGTCTGGAAGGTAGTGAAAAATCAGTTGCAAGACTCCGGGACAACTGATAAACCGACAAACAACTTGTGACAAGTCAAACGTTTAAAATAAATTACAAGTCTATTCTAAAGCGCTATTTTAATTTTTTAGATTTTATTTTTCTAATCTTCCATGTGCAGGTGCCCACAACCTATAGTAGAAGATTGATCGACTTTCCTTACCATCATTTTTCAAATTGATTATATATGTATAAAAGATTCAAATAAAATATATATAAATAAAAATAATTTAAATAATAAAAAATTGTATTTATTTTCATACTATTTTTTAAAATTATATTTATTTTTATATTAAAAAATTATATTTATAAAAAAATATAATTTAATTTAAATAATAAAAAAATTTATTTAAATAAATATAAATAAAACCCAATAAAAGATTATATCTGATAAACACTCTTTTTATCATATAGATTATATCAGCTAG